TCTTGCTGGGAATCAAAATTTCCTTGAGACTCCAGCATTCATACTTTGGGCCTAAAAGAGATTTCTCAGACTCATCCAGCCTTTGGGTGCTGACTAGCAGAGTCACTAGTGGATGCTGAAGTTACATGAGCTACATGTTAAATATTTAAAGTCTCCAAAATAAAACACCCCAACATTGACCTTACCCGCCTGATGGTTAGTCCTTTGCTGCCTGCTCCATATGTCTTATGAGAGCCCGTAGTTACAGTGCCCTCTAATTTGAAATCCTTAAGTTAATAAGTCTATATCAGGTACAGCTGGCTTTGATTAAAGGTCATTTTTAAAACTTAAAAATTCAAGACCTCACAGATTATAATAGAAAAAGAAATGGCCTCAGTTTGATCTTGTTCAGAATGACCCAGATTGTTTTTACTTTGGGTATAGCTGTTTTGTTCAGAGTTACATTACAGAAAATTATTTTCTGAGATAATCTTAAACTAGAATGTTCAAAACTAATTGATAATTGAAGTATCAGGATACTGTACATAGAACACCTCAGAGATTTTTCTTCAGGAGCTTCCACAAACTTTGAATCCTTGTATCTTTATTGGTTATTCATACTACTGGCAGCAAAATACAGGTTTTCCGTTTTGTATTGATTTGGCTTCATAGAGTATCTCAAATTGAAACTTTTTTGCACAAATAATACAATTAGGGATTTTGTAAATTCAAATTGGCACCTACTGAATTAAAATACATAAGATCATTTAAATATAATTCAGCATATGGGAAGTAACATTGCACTAATATGGAAATCACTGCCAGAGTAAGTCTGTTTTCTTTTGTTACTACTTAGACACAACCTTACTTATTCCAGTTTGGAATTACTTATTAAGGAGAATTGGAAATACGTATGCCCATGCTTAAATTTTATAGCTTTAATTTGTATTATTTCTTTATTGGCAGGAAGAGGTACACCTTTGTTTTCCTTACTGAAAACAAACATGGATTAATTGCCTCAAATTTGTATAAGTGATTGGCTAGTCTAGAGATTCTTGTTTTCAGAGGGATAGTGGTATAGAAAATGACAAAGATGGCAATATATACTCAATGTTGTTATTACGTGTTGCTGAAGTACTTAGATTTTTAAAATTTTAAATCATAAATCACTTCTTTTTGTTTTGTTTTATTTTTCTTTTGTTCATAAATCACTTCTTATAGGAGGATTTCCATTGACTAGCTGCAATATATTCAGTTCACTACATATGGGCTATTTGAGTTTTTTGTGTGCTTTATTTCTTTCTGTCTTTTAATACCTGGTTTTGTACATATCTGACTCTGTTCTCTTTTGGTTGTTCAGAAACTGGATTATTTTTTCTTAAGCAGTGCTTAATTTGTGTTTTTAAATTTTGATTCAGAAGTAGTCCCAGCTCATAGGTGTCCATGCTGTTACATCTAGAACATCTGTCAGGCTGTCAGCTCTCATGTACATATGGTATAGAAACCATGGAGTTAGGCACTTCCTGGATTTTTTTTTTTAATGAGAAAAATACTGTATTTAAAATGTAAAATAAACTTTTAAAAAGCAGGCACTAATATATATTTCTTCCAGCCTTTGATTACAAATTTGTTCATGCACATGTTAAGATGAATTATCTCCTAAAAATATCATTGTTCTTGGGAACTGTATATGTTACTTTACATAGCAGCGGTTCCTGTCATGTGTTCACGTCAGAATATTTTTGGTTTTAAACTTTTTTTATTGCCTTTGGCTGTTGATTAGTACAGTACAAGTGCGATTTCAAAAAGATCTTGAAAATAATATATTTAATCAATTAAAATGTTTATCAGTAACTTGTTGATGTTTTATTAATATAATTACTCTCTGAAGCATTAGTACAGTATTTCAACATCCAGGTAGGAGAAAAAGAAATGTTTTAAATATCTTTGTTTTAAAAGGCTTTAGTTGCAACAGACTCCTTCTGGCCAATTATTTAGTTTTATTGTTAATTACCTTACTGACTTAATATAGATTTAAATTTTTTCAGACTTTTAAATGCAAAGGATAGCACTGATTTTTCTTTTTTCTTTCTTTTTTTTTTTTTTTTTTTGAGACGGAGTTTCACTCTTGTTACCCAGGGTGTAATGGCGCAATCTCGGCTCACCGCAACCTCCGCCTCCTGGGTTCAGGCAATTCTCCTGCCTCAACTTCCTGAGTAGCTGGGATTACAGGCACGCGCCACCATGCCCAGCTAATGTTTTGTATTTTTAGTAGAGATGGGGTTTCACCATGTTGACCAGGATGGTCTCGATCTCTTGACCTCGTGATCCACCCGCCTCGGCCTCCCAAAGTGCTGGGATTACAGGCTTGAGCCACCACGCCCGGAAGAGCACTGATTTTTCTTATTGAAAATGACTGGGTTATAAAGTTGTTTCCCTACACTGCTGTGTGCGTAGTGTGTTCCATGAAATATATGGAGCCAGCAGACTTTAATGGATCGCTGGAGATGGAGCCCTCACTCAGGGTGGATGATTGCAGAGCAGTTGTGGGCAAGTCCCTAGTCAATGTGATGTGGAGTCCCAGAAACAGGTTGCCACATCCAGATGACACCACTGATAGGCAGGGTAACTGGCATGTTTAATTTTTTTTCTTTTGGAACCTGGGAAGACAGATGAGGTATTTTTGCTGTGTGGGATACCATAAAGCCAGACTGAAGAAGCATTAAGGAGAGCAGTTGATGTAAGCACCTCTTGGAAACCATGCTACTAAGTCTTGACCATCTGTCTTTTGGTGCAAGAGAATCAACCGGTTCAAAATAGTAAGTAATTGCTAATAATTCATTAGGGCTTAAAGTTCAACAGTCAGTGGCCAGGCTTGGTGGTGCACACCTGTAGTTTCAGCTACTCAGGAGGCTGAGGCATGAGAATCACTTGAACCTGGGTGGCATAGGTTGCAGTGAGCCAAGATTGCACCACCACACTCCAGCCTGGGGGCGGGGGGGGGGGGGGGGGGGGGGGGGCAGTTCGATCTACAACCAAAGCCATCTTTGTGTCTCTCCCCGGCTTTTTCTTGGTTCAGCACTTCCCGTCTGCAACCTAAAAACATGTGCCTGTGTGTCTACTTGGGGTAGACATTTTCATTCAGTAGCTTTTCAAAATACGTGTGAATTAGTATTGGACTTTTATCTCACATATATCTGCCTATAGTTTTTAATTTTCTTAAAAATTTTCTTTTTTTTTTTTTGAGACAGGGTCTCTGTCACCTAGGCTGCATAACTTCAGGTCACTTGCAGCCTCGACCTCCTGGGCTCAAGCAGTCCTCCCACCTCAGCCTCCTCAGTAACTGGGACTATAGGCACATGCTTTGGCATGCCTGGCTAATTTTTGTAGTTTTTTTAGAGCTGGGGTTTTACCATGTTGCCCAGGCTGGTCTCAAACTCCTGGGCTTAAGTGATCCACCCTCTTCAATCTCCCAAAGTCCTGGGATTACGGGCATGAGCCACTATTCCCGGCCTACTTAACATTTTTTTTTCTTTTTTCTTTTTTTTTCTTTTTGTTTTTTGAAGATAGGGTTTTACCATGATGGCCAGGCTGGTCTTGAACTCCTGACCTCAACTTATCTGCCTGCCCCTGGCCTCCCAAAGTGCTAGGATTACAGGCTTGAGCCACTGCCCCCGGCTACTTTTTTTTTTTTTTTTAAAGACAGAGTGGATTATTGTCCTTTAATGGTTTTACTTTGAATTTATTATATTGTCATTATTTCAAGTCCTTATTTTGCTTGATATCTTTTGTAATGAAACACAGAACCACTAGCTCCATTTTACTAGTGATCAGGGTCCTTAATTTGGTACCAGATACCTGACTTTTTTAGAATTGACACTTGGCTTTTGAACTCAATTCAGTCAGGTGTGGGGTAAAAGTATAAATTGGAGCAGTTTAGCTGTAGTAAACACTGCATCTGGTTGCTTACTTCAATCTATAATGTACTGAAGACTTGAAAGTGTATTTCTGAAAAGAGCCAAGTATAAAGTATGCTGGCTGGGTGCGGTGGCTCACACTCATAATCCCAGCACTTTGGGAGACTAAGGCAGGTGAATCATCTGAACTCAGGAGTTCAAGACCAGCCTGGCCAACATGGTGAAACCCTGTCTCTACCAAAAATACAAAAAGGTAGCCAGGCATGGTGGCATGCACCTGTGATCTTAGCTACTCGGAAGGCTGAGGTGGGAAGATCACTTGAGCTTGGGAAACAGAGGTTGCAAGTAAGCCAAGATCATGCTACTGCAATCTAGCCTGGGTGACAGGGCGAGATTCTATCTCAAAAAAATAAAAATTAAAAAAGTATGTTAATGGCAATCTATAAAATAATATGTATATATTTTTTGAGACACAGTCTTACTCTGTTGCCCAAGCTGGAGTGCAGTGGCATGACCTCGGCTCACTGCAATCTCTGCCTCCTGTGTTGAAGCAATTCTCATGCCTCAGCCTCCAGAGTAGCTATGCCACCATAAGGGACGGGTTTTTTGTTTTTTGTTTTTTGTTTTTTTGAGATGGAGTCTTCCTCTGTCACCCAGACTGGAATGCAGTGGTGTGATCTCAGCTCACTGCAACCTCTGCCTCCCGGGTTCCAGCTATTCTGCCTCAGCCTCCCAAGTAGCTGGGACTACAGGTATGTGCTACCATGGCTGGCTAATTGTGTTTTGAGTAGAGACGGGGTTTTACCATGTTGGCCAGGCTGGTCTTGAACTCCTGACCTCAACTTATCTGCCTGCCCCTGGCCTCCCAAAGTGCTAGGATTACAGGCATGAGCCACCCGCACTCGGCCTTCATTTAGATTTATTAAACTTTCATGGTTTGTGCTTTTCATATTTTTGGTTTGAGACAAGGTCTCTCTGGAGTACAGAGGTGTAAGCCTTGAACTCCTGGGCTCAAATGACCCTCCCACTACAGCATCCCAAAGTGCTGGGATTATAGGCGTGAGCCACTGTGCTTGGCTTTCCCTGCTCCTCAGATTCTTTAGGTAAAAACTTAGGTTATTGATTTAAGCCCCACCTCCACCTTTTTTTAATTCAAAGCTAAAAACTTTTTGAGTGTTGTTTTTTTTGGGGGGGCTGAAAGGGGCGGAGACTCACTCTGTTACCAGGCTGACATGCAAAGGCTCGATATTGGCTCACTGCAACCTCCACCTCTCAGGTTTAAGAGATTCTCCTGCCTCAGCCTCTGGAGTAGCTGGGACTACAGGCGGGCGCCGCCATGCCCAGCTAATTTTTGTATTTTCAGTAGAGACAAGGTTTCACTTGTTGGCCAGGATAGTCTCAATCTCTTGACCTCATGATCTGCCCCCCTCAGTCTCCCAAAGTGCTGGGATTACAGGCATGAGCCACAGGCACCCAGCCGTGTTGCTTTTTTACATCTCATAAATTTTGATATGTTGGGATTTTGTTTGCCTTTAGTTTAAAATATTTTCTTTTTCTTTTTTTGAGATGGTGTCTTACTCTGTTGCCAAGGCTGGAGTACAGTGGCACGATCCCAGCTCACTGCAACCTCCACCTCCCGGATTCAAGTAATTCTCCTGCCTCAGCCTCCCAAGTAGCGGAAATTACAGGCATGTACCACCATGCCCAGCTAATTTTGTATTTTTAGTAGATAGGGTTTCACCATATTGGCCAGGCTGGTGTCGCACTCCTGATCTCAGGTGATCCGCCCACCTTGGCCTCCCAAAGTGCTGGGATTACAGGTGTGAGCCACCACGCCCAGCCCAGTTTAAAATATTTTCTAATTTCCAGCTGGGCACAATGGCTCACGCCTGTAATCCGTGCACTTTGGGAGGCCGAGGTGGGCGGATCACCTGAGGTGGGGAGTTTGAAACTAGGCTGGCCAACGTGATGAAACGCCGTCTCTACTAAAAATACAAAAAATTAGCTGGGCGTGGTGGTGCATGCCTGTAATCCCAGCTACTCGGGAGGCTCAGGCAGGAGAGGAGAATCACTTGAACTTGGGAGGTAGAGGTTGCAGTGAGCCAATATCTCGTCATTGTACTCCAGCCTGTGCAACAAGAGCAAAACTCAGTCTCAATAATACAAACATATATATATATATTTTTTTTTTTTCTAATTTCCTTTGTGATTTCTTCCTTATTACATGGGTTATTTAGAAGTGTGTTAGGTTTCATATATTTGAGGATTTCCCAAATGTTTTTCTGTTGTTGATTTCTTTTTTTTTTTTTTTTTTTTTTTTTTTT